GTGGTATCCCGCTAGTGGCTCGCGGAGAGTCTGACACGGGCTAGCTACAGTATCAAGACAATTATTTAGAAGTGAAGAAATGTGCTTGGGATATGAGCTGAAAGAGCAATATTGTTCGTAATACGCGGCCTCGAACCCAGTGCCAGCTGAGACATGATCTGCAACCTTCCACCTTGCTGTCGTGCACCAGTGAACGAGCGCACTAAACTACGCTCCGCCGCGCGAGCGCGTGCGCACGTACGCACAAGTACTCGCTATTCAGAAAAAAGAGAAAGATTCGGATATAATTATTACTACCTACCAAAGCGCTAACAAATCTTCCTCGCGTTTTTTTCGCAGCGCATAATTTCGAGGCTGGTGCAGCGCCCCATGTCCAGAGTTACCCCCATTTACCTTACATTAAAGCTGCTAAAATGACTCAAATCAGATATCAGTTGTTTTGAAACACCCACCTCCTCTTGATTTACTCTATCTGATATTGGGGCTTGTGTTCTGCCCTCCACTTCCTGACAAAGACCACAGTTTGTTTAATATAGTCTCGTGCGTGAACCAGACTAAGCCAGGATGCCTGCAGAGGAACTCTTATCCTCCAGTGCCTTCTGTAAGTCAGTATACACATTTTTAACTGGCTACCTTACGTTTTGCTGTTGATTTGTACGAGGAGCAACTTGGCAGTGTGCGCCGTGTTACACGGGCCTTGCCCAGCGCCTTCATTGTTTGTCCCCCAGGTTATAGCTATCATTGTAGTCTGATTACTGAAGCCTGCCTACGAAACGACCCCACCATATGTGCCACAACCTAATTGCATCGTTGTTGGAGACACTACGCATACACCCTGCTTCAGGTACATTAGCTTCTGCTTTCACAGTTATCTCTACAACACCCATGAACATCAGAGTGACTGAAAATGCAGAAGGCATGAAAAATAGTGGAAACAAGTGGGAAAATCATTTCTTCAAAATGAAGGGGTGATATAGGGATTGCTTGGAGCACCAAAAAGGAAGAAACAAGGGGTCATTACACAGCAAAGATGCACCAAGCTACATGACACCATCCCTATATCTTTGTCTCATAGTAAACTTTACTTGTGAACTATAATATTATATAACACAAAGATATAGGGATGGTGTTATGTAGCTTGGTGCATCTTTGCTGTGTAATGACCCCTTGTTTCTTCCTTTTTGGTGCTCCAAGCAATCCCTATATCACCCCTCCATTTTGAAGAAATGATTTTTCCACTTGTTATAGTTGACCTTGGACGAGCAAGCGGTTTTTCTCTCCTCAGTCATTGTTGATCTCTGTTCTCGATGGACAACAAATTGAGCAAGGTATGTCCGCAATGTTCATAATCGTACTGGGCTTACCGTGACCTGATCCGCTCGCTCTGTGTACCTTTGGGGCTCAGAAAGTCACAACGAATGGACTCCCGCATGCTATCTGCTATACTGTAGCTAGCCCGTGTCAGACTCGCGACGTGAGCAGTATCGCAGTTCGCCGAGGGTTTGCACTTTAGTACTTTTCATTATTGAATAATCTAAAGTAAACTCTGCGTGCAGTGCACATGCAGTAAGTATAAAACACCATGTGATTGTGATCGACAATGATTGTTCTCTATAGGCTAAGTACACAGTAGTATACACGAGGGATTAGTACTTTGGCAATCGACCACACACCCCAAGCAATAATTGGCAGAACTACTATAATATAGGACATAAATGTGCACATGCAGATAATTATACTGGTGTCTTGGCTACTTCCCAGACATCCTAACTCACCACTTATATAGACCAGTGACAAACCAGACGTAATCTGAGACTGGGAGTATTTAACGCTGGTAACACAAAGAATATTAATAAAACCGATACTGACCCATGATTAATAATGGTTTGTCTAATGGCTTGAGGTATATACAAGATGCAAACCACGAATTGATCCCTTCCAAGGTCTAACAAGCTATAATGCACTCCACCACAGGTGTGGAGGAGCTGGTGATTAGACTAGAGAATGCGATCAACTGTCACTTGCATTGCCTACAGATATTTGGAAGCTGGTTAGCATGGCCCAAGGGCCCAGGGCTGGAACTGGCTTGTCTGACATGGGACGCATCGCCGTGCACGGCTAGGCTGCGCTGGGGTGCCTGCCTTTGAGACATTTTATGACATGTCTCATTCAATCCGGACCTTTTGCTTTTTTTACTGTACTGAAAGGGTAGATGAAAGCAGCATCAAAGCTCCGACCGCCACATCCAAGTGCCGACTGACCACTTCTAAGGATGCGTGGGTCGTTTATACGAGTTCACAATTGTGCGCGTTTTGTTCACGTTTTGTAACAACATTTTTTCTGACCGAAAGGGATATTCAAAAACGCTCAGACCTGGCTGTAATGCACTATAATAACCCTCCTCTTTCCAATGGCAGCCGCCAGCCAGATTACGGCGCTCCCCAGGAGTCTCATAACGACACTCCTACAAATTACACTCCACGTCGTTGATTGGTCTGCAACTATATAATATTAGTTAGTACGGTATCGTTGATGCTAAAGCCACTTGACTATTTCCTTCCCGTGCGTGTAACTATAATTATATACGCCAGTATGTGAAGCGACATTGCCCTTTCTCTATAGTGGACTTGCTTTCTAGCTGTTATCATGATCAACCAAGCGTGATATGGGAGATACAAAAGGCAAAATTAAAGCTGACATACTGTGAAAACTATTCCAGGAAAAACTATACTGATTGGTGTGTTTTATGAGTTTCCGCATAATCGCCCTTTCCTCGTGCAAACCATGACCGCTGCTGTTTTTGTGACAGGCTCACAGAAATGGCACAACGTGATACCAATCTAAGGGTTGAAGCATCAATGTCTCAAGTCAGATTCTGTCTCAAAATAAGGTTCAAAACACAGCAAAAGCAGAATATACTTGGAAACTACAAATTCGGGTGACAATGTGATCGATGGAAAGCTGGGAAAGCTGCACTTTTCCGACCCGAAAATAGCCTTTGAACATTCGCACCACCTTACGAAACAAATCGAACTCATTAGCACACAAATTCGGGTGACAATTTCTAGGTTACACATAGCAGCTCAAGGAACAATTTGGAAAAAGTTGTCGTAGGTTTGTTTGTCTTGTCTTCGGTCTGCCGTTTAGTTGTGTTCATGCATCCAGCTACATTAGTAGCCGAGAGCAGCCCAAGAAATGTATCCTCCCGCTGAACGGAGGTGCCCAATAATGGCGAAGTTGTAGCCAGAATTACTGACTCAGCCAACAGCATCAGTAGTTAGCTATCAATATCATCGCCTGATCGGTATGTATACTGCAACGCATTGTTGGCGAGCGAGCGCGAGCAGTAATTTTTTTGCGCATCACGTATATAATATAGTAAAACACGCGCCAGACTGCACAATTCCCGAATTGAAACGACTAGGTAGGCTCGCTTCGCTCGCCTATTAGTGTATTTGCGAAGGCAGTCTAAAATTTTGTGTTGAAGCCAAAGACATCAGCATGGTACGTAAGTTTATTCAAAGTATAGCTAGCTTCCTTTACCTTTATGCCGCTTGTCGCTATAGCTACGTAACCATCCACTTTGTGTTTGGTTGGAGTTCCTTTCACGTATTCGTCTTTTAGCGCCACACATTGTAACCTGACCCCCTTCTCCCTACAGGGCGAAGGAAATGCAGTAATTTTTATTGTTGGGACAATAATCGCAGATGTTGTTGGAGCAATACTAGCTGCCATAGATATTGGCCTGGGTAAGTATCTGTTACAAGACTGTGCAGAAAATCTTGTGCTGTTCGAGCGCGTCAAGTCAGCAGTGGAAAATATATAGTCGGCGAGTATTTTGTTCAGCCATTTCAAAGGAAGGGCTCAAGTCAACCACCCCCTGCGCAAGCTGGTGGCTGGAATTGTTGTTCTGGGTGCAGACTGGCACTAGGTTTGGCGCTCACAATTTTGCGCAAGCGCGAGAGTGCCTCGATCCCCCCCTGCTCACTGCTGCATGCACAGTGCTCGTTCTTTTTCAACCTCCATTATTCCGTTTTTTGGGCAGTGCACGTACGTAGGTCAAATTCTCATGATGGACAGCGCGATATGGAATATCGTTTGTAACGTACAAGACGTCGAGCGTTACGTCTACATCGCGTTCTAGCGGCGACATCAACTCGAGCGCAATGGTTTTGGGTATTCATTGTTGCACGCATACTCTTGACCCAACCCATCAATTGGCGGTACAGCACATGCGCAGTGCGCCGAGGGTTTCCTTTTCATTACAACAGCTATGCTTTTTTTATTGGCAGGTGCCTGGTTCTTGCAAAGGGATGATGACATATTCGGTTGCTCTAGTGAAAGTGATGATATTGAGCACGACAATTTCATCATTGGTGTATTCTCAATTCTAGTTGGTGCTCTCTTTTACTACTATCTGATCTTACTGGGAATAGCAGGTCTTTTACTACTAGGTGATGGCTACTCAGCAGTAAAAATTGTTGTTGGTATTTTAGCAGCCGGCAGTACCGTCGTTGGAATAGTTAATACCTTTATTGATGCAGTTTTTTCTGGTATTAATGAGAATTGTGGAACGACTGAAGCTAATGCTTTCCTGTTCTTTACTATTGTAATCAGCCTTCTTGGTGGCTATGTTGCAGTTCAAGTATTTATACTTCTTTTTGTGGTTTTTAAAAAAAATTTATGATAGTGGTTAGCTACTTGTTGTGTATGACTGTGGTGAGATTGTACACATCATAATCATTTTTTGACACAATAATTATTATTAGTGAGCAATTACAAGCACGATCATAATGAGAGCAGAGAGTAGCTAACCGACACTTACACCGTGGACACACATGCCTAAACAATTTCACTAAACACCTAGCCTTGGATTCAGAGCGTGGTAGCTAACATGTCCACCATGGACATCTGTGCAAGGGGCCCACTGGACGAACGTAATTGATTTCCAGACACAAAAGGCAGGTGGAAAGGCACCAAAAGACCGTATTTCCTTATGTATAAAAACATTTCCAACTAAATAGTAAATATGGTCTTTAATGTCTTTCCTAAAAATAAACGGCCATCTTTTCTGGCATTTTGTCCAGCTCCCTTCCTTAAAGATGTTCTTTCCTGCGCTTAACTCCCATGAAAACTGGGATTTTGTCCAGCTCCCTTCCTTAAAGATGTTCTTTCCTGCGCTTAACTGGGATTTCCTTGCATATTGTAATCTTAAACAACACAAAAAGCAAATTAAAATGATGAAAAGTGATACCAAAAGCATGAAATAAGAGGTGTTTGTTTTCTGGAATTGAGGTTGTAAATGGGAGCTCACTGTCAGATTCAAACATTGGTCCCTCTGAAGCAAGAGTTTTCACACCAAAGCTTCTGGAATGGACATAACACACAGACACACATTACAGTACCCTGTTGCACAGACCACAACACAACCCTTCTTTAAATGTACAAGAGTTCCCCTCCTACCCAAACTATGGAACACTCCAAAGATATTGAAGGGAAAATTTGGCGCCATACTGAACACTCACTAAACCACAAAACCCAACGAACTTACGCCAGACTGACAGCCGAACGGCCACAAAGCCCGACGAACGTCACGCCAGACTGACAGCCGAACGGCCACAAAGCCCGACGAACGTCACGCCAGACTGACAGCCGAACGGCCACAAAGCCCGACAAACGTCACGCCAGACTGACAGCCGAACGGCCACAAAGCCCGACAAACGTCACGCCAGACTGACAGCCGAACGGCCACAAAGCCCGACAAACGTCACGCCAGACTGACAGCCGAACGGCCACAAAGCCCGACAAACGTCACGCCAGACTGACAGCCGAACGGCCACAAAGCCCGACAAACGTCACGCCAGACTGACAGCTAAACAGCTTCATGCACCAATATCAATGCATGGCCAGCGTGCATATGTAGTACAAACCATAGATATATATCGATGTACAAACCCTGAAGGGAACTCCACCGAGACCCTGCCCAAACTAGCACACACGCGCGGTAAGTGCATCGGAGCTGCAAAAAAAGAAATAAGATACTATCCTATCCTAAAACGCAGTCTTCACACCTTGAAGAGTATCACTTCTGTCTCTCACACAACCAGACCCTGCTCCAGCACACGCTCGAGGTAGGCGAAATAGTATCCATCAGAGCTACAAAATGAAAAGTAAGACGCATAGCTAAAAGCTATCCCAGCACAAAGAGACAAAGTACAAACCAAGAAGGGCAAAGCCTGGGTGAACCTGCAATGGATGAGCACTTAGAGAGAGGGAATGTTGCAGTACAATAAGAGCTAAATGTACAATAGGACCCAGTGCAAGAATGCAGTTTCTGTTTTGTCATTAACAGTCTTATTTACTGCCATCTTCATATGGTGTATGTTCGTTTGTTAACGGTTCCGCCCATTGCTCTGGGTGCGTGGTCTATGGCCCTAGTGCTATGGCAGCCACCTGAGTATTATTATTATTATTTACTTCCATCTTTAGGTCATGCAACAACGTTACATAGCCTTAACAACATGTTCACTTTCACACAGTAGACGATCAACTGTGTACAGTACAGTATATACATACACCAATAGGGGGCCTTTTTCACATGTAGCCACTGATACGTTACGTTCACTCTCTAGAGAAATCTGGTTTGAACTTCTGCAGTTATGTGCACAGATTCTTGTTTTTGTTTTTGTTGCTTGTTCCACAATCTCTTAGGCTTATACTAACACGGAAAAGGACATGTTATAGGCCTTTGTGGCACCTGTATATACACAGATGAGACACTATGCAGGTGTTCCATTTTGTTTGTCTAACTGTTTTCCTTTCTCTAGGCAAAAAGACCCTTTAATTCCTCATCGGAAGACAGTGCATGTGCCTGCTACTATGTATATATGTACATACTGTAAGTGAGGCATAATATATTGAGTTACACAGATTTGGACCCTTTGCCTGCTGAGCTGCCCTTGCAGCTACAGTAAGTAGAGCTCTCTGCCAAGATTGGGTTTGAATCATTAAAAAAAACAGCTGTCCTACACGTATGCAAGGCGTTGTTGAAGCTTTGCCTTTGCCTAGTCACCTTATTGATATTTACATGGATATAAATATTCATGATGGGTGGAGCTCGAGGACCACACTGCAAATTACAGTATGCATACACACCTCCATCAGGCAAAGCACATTCCACTATTAAAAATCCATAATTTATGGGTACAAGGTTCGGTTCACATGGGGCAGTTGATTTACCAGAACATGTTAGGGATAATATTCATTAACAGTGCACACACTGCCAAACATGTAAAACAGGTTCATACACAAACAATGGAGACATATTTTACTAGCTACATTTTTGTCAGGACTTTATTGAGTTCTCAAACAATTGAAATTACACTCTCTTGGAACAGAGTGAAATTGAAACAGAAGTGCCACTAACTAACTCACTGCCTGAGCTCCAGTGGAATCGATGGCCTCAAGGACAGAGTCCATGACGAGGTAGCTCTCAGTGGCTGGGGCTGGACCCACACGGACAGCCTCGTCTGCCATTCTGGTATGGAGCTAGGAGAGACAGATGAGGGAGAATGACCATTTGTAAGCACAAGAGCAATCACACGGATAGTTTTAGATTTATGGAACTAGAGAGAAAGAGGAGAGAGATATTCTTCACAAGCGCGTAAGCTCTAGCACGGATAGCTTTCTTCACATGCAGTAGGAGTAATGCTGCGTAAAAACAACTAAGACGTGAGGGAGACAAGGAACAAGCGTCACGCTGTCTACCATGTTGATATGTGAGCCAGAGCATTCTGGCAGCTATCCATCCCTGTGCTTATGCACTATGTGCAAGAGACCAGCATATTAGGAAGTGTAATATTGATGATGTGTATAATGGGGGAAATTAACTACAGTCACCAAGTGCTCACAGCTTGCTGGTCTGCATCACTGTAGATAGCGACAGTCTTGATCCCCATCTCCCTACATGTTCTCATCACCTACACAACAAAACCAACCACCATGCACCAGGTATTGCGACAATTGGTAGAGGTTTGACTCACACGACATGCTATCTCCCCTCTATTGGCAACCAGGATCTTGTCGAATGGCTGTAGAGATGACGAAGAGTGAATGTGAGGGCGGTACATAGACTAGTAGGGCCACCTCGGAACCTACCTTCCCATCGTTGCTGAAGCATCTCCGTGCAAATGCTCCCCTCCAGCTGTGAAACGATAGGCGGTGTAATACGCGGCCTCCCAGCGCCAGCTGAGACATGATCTGCAACCTTCCACCTTGTTGTCTTGCACCAGTGAACGGCGTTCGGTGGGGCGATGATGAGCGAACGCTGGCGGTCGGTCCTACTCCAATTGTAGCGCACCAAACTACGCTCCGCCGCGCGTGCGCGTGCGCACGTACGTACACACAATTAGGTTTTGATCATGTGAGTCGCTCTAAGAGAGTTGTGACTGATGAAATGGCTTTGGGTTATAATGCAGGTACTGCTATACATCAAAGCTGCTAAAAGAGTTGTTTAATGACTCAAATAAGATATCAGTTCACTGATGGTATCAGTTGTTCTGCAACACCCACCTCCTCTTGGTTTACTCTATCCGATATTGGGACTTGTGGTTCTGCCCTCCACTTCCTGACAAAGACCACAGTTTGTTTAAGACAACGCCCCTTCTTAAATACTAATTGCACCATGCTCTTCGAGAGCAGTACAGTCAAGTACAAAAACGGAACAAGAGTTGATATCATGGTCAGAACAAGGCCAAACGTTGGGCCTATTTCATCCCAGTCAGAAGCAAGTCTTGCCATGCTTACACTGGTAAAGGTTACAATAAAAGACAAGATGAGTAGATGGTTAATTCATACGAAGAACATGAACTGTATCTTGTAAGGGTTGATCAGTACTATGAAAAATATGGCTCCAGTAGCCAGAAGTATGAGTAGTAGAAAGCATATTTCACTTTTTGTTAGGTTGTACATGAGGGCTCCACAAACTCGAAATAATGGAAACAGAGTAGAAAAATACCTGCACTCCCACCCTCCATCTGACCTGTCACGATAGTATCCTTGGAAACACTCCATGAACATTCTCAGACCTGGGCTGTTCAAGTGACACTTGTTGAGGAAGAGTTGGAACCACTTCATTGGGTAGAGTATTAGTAGAAGTATGAAAATAATTGAAATAATGAGGATTATTATGGCAATGATGAAGTACGGCATGTGTTGAGGACCCATAAACTCAACAGTTCCATCATAGTACATGAAGTGCCCAATCCTGGAACCATGTATATATGTCAAAAATTGGTGTGTATAAAAGCAGATCACCTGAGACGCTTAAGAACTTGACATTTGACAGTAGCAAGAAAGTTGCAAAAGCATCGATGATTGAATGCTTAATGTTCCACTGCTGTCTGATTCTTGCGGAACACCAGAGAAATGGTCTCCACAGCCTCACAACTAGCCTGCACTGCATTCCTGGTGATAGTTGTGGTATTTCACATATCAGTGACATCCCCACATCTAAATGCAGCTATATTTCTGTGCCAGGCTTATGCTCTACCAACTGGCCTACGACTTCTGACACAAACAATGAGAAAAACACCAACCTTCCAAAACAATTACACAAGATTTATAGCTACCGTCTATGGAATTTGGAACTTGGACTTTTTCCGAATGCTCATTCCTCCGATTTGCCTGCCACTGACCGCAATGCAGGTGATTGCTCTGGACTACCTGATTGCTGCCTACCCTCTCTTCCTGCTAGTGTGTTTCTATGTGCTAGTGACAGCTCATGACAGAGGATAGGCCACAGTTATATACATGATGATATTAGCAAGCAGTCCCCTGTGACACTTATAGCACTTCATGTCACAGGAATATGGAGAGATGAAGTGGTTCTCTTTGCAAGCTCCACACAGTCTTCCTTCACGATTGAGGTAGTCACAGAGTTGGTGATCTTGCTGGGTAAGGTTCTGATCTACTTCATAGTAGAGTCCAAAACCTCCATCGATGTACTTGCCATGATTTAGAACATAGAGACAGCGACCAATTACAGGATCATGGTGAGGGTTGAATGATGTGAGACAGAAGGAGTTCTGGATACTTACTGTCTGACTGACATTGTTGCAGATTATCTTGTTCAGGAGACTGCTGCCACAGGTACACCATCCTTCATCTGAGAGGTATATACAGCCAAGTCGGGCAAGAGCTATTGGTGCCTTCTACTTTACCATCACTTGCATGTGCAAAGAATGCCACCACTACTACTACGACTATAGATGCCATTATCCTTCTGACATTAACTTGCCTTTTCTGTGGATTGCCACTTTTTGGCTTACATAATCCCTTTATAGTAGAAAACATACACTACAAGTAAGATAGGGAGTACATCCCAAAACAAATAGAAGGTTATTGTTTATGTAGCCAACACGGATGTGTGTCTGCCATAGTAGCTATTGCAGCAGGGGCAATTTGTATGAAAGGGACTGTGAATAGCGATAACAAGTGCAAACCCTCGGCGAACAGCGCATGCGCGATACTGCTACGAGCTGGGCTTA